GGCATCTAGTACAGGATCAGTTGTCATGGCAATGATCCACTGAACTTCAGGGAAGCAGGTGCTTGATCAACAGCTCCTTTGTTTCTACAAAAAAATGACAGGGTTGAAATCGCCGCTGTAGCCACTTTCAAAGAGTCTCCCAGACAAGCAGCTGTGATGATCATAGGTCATTTGGGGCTTGGGAACTTGGGGGATATTAGCAATGGGCACCAGCCCTCCCAGGTCTTTGGTCTATCGGTCTGGTTTTCCAGCCACTCTTAAGGAACACAGCCACAGGACCTGAAGCTGCCCAGGTTAGGGAAGGGGCACTGAAGCTATCAACCAACTCATGGGTCCTGTGAGGACTGCAAGTGCCACCATGGCCTAAAGGGCGGTCACCAGAGCCAGGTAACTTCGAGGAAGCGTCACCCAGACCACCCTTCAGCAGACAAGGGGGGAGGCATGAAACTATCAGGTCCCACCCTCACCTGCTGTCAAAGGGAAAAGGGAAGGGCGTCTTTTTTTTCTATTTCATCAACTCTTATTTGTTTAATAAATGCTAGTATCACTTCTTGGCCTTTTGGCTAAGATCAAGAGTAGTATAAATGCTAGTTATCATTAAATTCCAAACCTATAACACCTCTCCACCAGTGATATCATATTTAAGCATTAAAAAAATTTTGATAATAGCAAAATTCTTAAAATGTTCTGGAAAACTAAGATTGAAATGGAAGACATGAAAACTCTCAACAAAATTAAGGGATTGAATACCATATGACACTACCAGTATTTTCCCAGGGACAGGCTTTATACTTTGCAGTCCACATACAACCAGAAGTTGAGCAGAATTAATTAGGGTCAGACGCACAGATCATAAAATTTGCAGCCTTGACTTTTCATCTGAGTGTAGGAAAAATCATTGACCTTCTTACAAACCAAGCTGTTCCTATATATGAGACATAGTGAACATGTCTTTAAGTCCCAGAAAAAGATATTACAAAGTATTACTCTTGACTAATAAGCATTTTCTTCATCAAGGGTGCTATAGACTCCAAAAATGTATGTTTCAACCTTAACCCCCAGTATGTCACCATATAGCTTTATTTGGAATTAGAATCTTGACAGAAGCAATCAAGTTATAATAAAATCAGCAGAATCCGGCCCTACTCAAGTATGACTTGTGCACTTGCATAAAGGACAACCTGCCCCTTTACATAGGAGAAATCCAAATCCCCACTTGGATCTTGGATGTAGAGGTAGATACACACAAAGACAAAACATTGTGTGAGTATGAGGATAAGCACTGGAGTGACGAACCCACAAGCTAAGGGACATCAGAAAACTACCATGAGCTGGGAGAGGGGCCTGGAACAGGGTTTACCTGAGTCCTACTCTGCTGATACCCTGATCTCAGACTACTAGCCTGTAGAATTTCAAGACAATAAATACTGTACCTATTATTTAAGCCGATCAGTTTATAGCCCTTTGTTATGGAAGTTTTAGCAAATTAATAAGTTTATTCTATTTATTTACTTCTATTTATTTTCCTAAACTGTTCCAGCTGCTTCACTGGTAGCCCTTGACTTCTCTTGTTGCCACTTCATCATTGCTATTTTGTCTTCTCTCAGGTGTCCATTAGCTTTTTCTTCTGGTTGTTTTGTTTGCTCCAGTCTTTTGAAACTTTGGAATGATTAATCTGCACTCTTATTTTGTACTTTATTGGTGAAGACTGAAAATTAACTTAGACTAGAAAGCAAGTGTGGGTCCCAGGTTGCAGGAGCACAGCTCCCTGCTTCCGGGAGCACTGTGGAGGCACCAGCAACCACTGAGTGGCTCAACCTCGAATGTCTGCGGAGTCTGAAGTTAATTAGAATCAGTGTCCTTCCTACACTAGCCCTGAAATTTCACCATGATAATTCCAGCTGTTAACATGAGTCATCTAATTTTTTTTCTCCAGTTAGACTCTTCTAGAAGAGGTCTGCTGGGTTTTTGGCTCTCCAGTATCCAACAGTTCACTCAAATTGGTGACCAAATTCTCCTTTGGGAGAAGTCCCTAGCTCTAATATCTCTTTGGGGAAATCCCCCAATCCTGACTACCTATGCCCAGGAATGAAGAGGTTCCTATCTCTCTGGCCTGTTAGTATATTATAGTCAAAGAGTAGACAAGATATTAACTCATCCCACTAGGCCCCCTTCCAGGGCATTGAATTCTGAGCAAAGAATAAATCTTTTTTTGGATTCTGGAGTCTTTCTAAGGACCTGACTTTCTGCATCACAGCTCTTGCCACCAACCTTCTGAAGCTGCCAATAGCTGAGCTGCCTGCTAACTACTATTTCCCAAGATGGGTTTCCCAAGCCCTGGTATGTTTCCAATAAATTTTGTTTTATTTTCTCTTTCTGCCTTTCCTCCTCTCTCCCTTCTTCTCTTTTACTTTCTTTCCTTGTTTTTTTTTTTTTTTTTTTATCTCTCATTTGCTTAATGATAACCAGAGTTGTTTTTTGTGGTTTGCAACAAAGAAACCTGACAGATTCAAAGACTAATGCAGAGGGAATGCCATACTAGAGTTCAGCTTCACCTCCTATGAGCAGTGGGATACTTGGAAAATCTTAGCCACTTCAAGCCTATTTACCCATGCAGAATGTGAAGCTAATATTTGCTCTTGAAATGAAAAATCCTGACACTATTTAAATTTTAACAAAGTCTACTTGAACAAGAAAAAAAGTTTCTAGAATCAGACAGCATTCCAGAGACCAAAGATGTTCCAAAATTCAGCATCACATCCACCCGCTTACATGTGCAGGTTATATTTATAGCCAAATGACAGGAAGAGAGCTACAGAAACATCTTGATTGGCTGCAATTTATATTTGCCTTATATGGTCATATGTGGGCAAACTTCAACTTCTGATTGGCTAGAAGTTTAGCTGCTATGATTGGCTGAGACTCAGTTGATTGTTTTCAAGTTTATACACATATATTAGGTTAAAATTTATATATCAAACTAGGTTACAATTCATAGTATAGCAGCTGCTTTGGAACTCAAACTTTGTGACCCAATTACAGAGATAGGTTTAGGCCAAAATTATTCCAGTTAAACACTGCATTTTTTATTTACAAGACTTGTGAAAACATTGAGAAAGCTCTTTGTTGCTGTTAAATATGATGCAGATGTAATGGGATAATAATGATACTAGAGATGGTGATGATACTTCAGAGAGTCTCATAAGAAACGCAAGGAGAAGAAATATAAAGATGAGGTAGAAAAGAATACTTAATTTACTTTGAAAATTACATAATATATTTCTTCCTATTAGAATAAAATATTTGAAAATCATATTTTAATGCACAAAGAGACTCATTCCTCAAAGGACCCATCAAAAGATGCATTCAGCTCTTTGTAAATAACACCTAGTGAACTCCTTATTTTGTAAATGTATTTTGTTTCAGATTTTCTTAAGGAGAATAAAACCTGTATGCATTACAGCTAAATTCATGAGCCTGCCTACATCAGATTGTATGATAATAACCCAAAAGCGATGCCTATAGGATCTTTTCTGTTCAGACCTTAAAAGTTTGACTGCTTTTTAATAAACATTTTTATTGAGTTATAGTCTCATAAAGTTTCATTTTGTAGAATTACCATGAAGAGAACACCAAAAAATAGCAACTACATCAAGAAATTGAACATTACCTGGAAGCGTCAGAAAACATCCATGTGTCCCTCCCAAGCCATATCCCTTCCATCTCACAAAAGATAAAAACTTCCCTGAATTTTTATATCACTGAATAACATTTCCTAGTTTTTAATGTTTTATAAATTGAATTTTAAAACAACATGTCTTTTTGTATGTGGAGTTTTTTGTGACATTCACCCAAGTTGTTGAGTGTGGAAGCATTTCCTTCATTACTATGTTATTGCATTGTATAAATATATACCACAATTTGCTTATTCAGTGGCCACTTTACAGAAGTTTGAAATGTTTTCAGTTAAGGGCTCTTATAAGTGATGTTGTCTTGAAAATTTTTGAATATCTTTTGGCAAACGTATCTATTTCTGTTGGATAGTTGCCTAGGAATGCAACTGTCATAGAGTGTGAATATGCAAAATAAACTTTTTCAAAGAGATTGTGGATCATTAGCAATACACTGAGTCCTTGTCAACACTTAGAATTATCAGTTATTTAAAATTCCCATTCTGGTGGGGCTTAGTGTTAGTGCTACAGCAAGCAGAAATACCAAAACAACATCCAGGATATGGAGGCAGGTTTATTTAACATCGGACGGGCACTGACTAGGAATCAATTGTTCCTCAAAATGTCAGGCCTTGAAGGCCCAGGGAGGAAGGTTTTTACAGGGTCTACCAGGGGAGGTATGGAGGTAGAGTGCCTGACTCTCTTTGGTTAGGTCCTATAATGGGCATCATAGTGACCAGCTATGCATCACAGTGACCAGTGGTTTCTAGGAGACAGAAGCAACCTAAACTACAACAGGAATTATTACCCAGGCAACCAAGAAACTGAAGTATACTGGCTGGGGGGACCATTTTCTGTTACATTAGCTTCTTATGTTTGAATTTGCACTCCCCTAATTCTAGACACATACACATACAAAAAATCACATCATTATCCATTATTTTACACTCAAGTATCTAAAGGGGCAAGCTGCATCCTAAACAAGCTCAAAAAATTCCCTCTCAGAGTACATACATACATTTGAATCTTCACAGCTGCAGGAGACCAAGAGCACAACTAAGGAATTCTTCACACTATCCTTAAGCAGAATTTGATAGTTACAAAATAATTAAGTGCCTTAGCTTCGATATTAAATGTTCTCCTAAATTCCATGTGTTAAAGGTGTGTTCCACAGGATAATGCTTTTGGGGACTAGAGGAACCTTTAGGGGGAAAGGCCTAGTAACAGGTCTTTAGGTCATTGGGACCAGACTCTGAAGGGACTTTGTGACCTCAGCTCCTCCTCACTCTGCTTTGTGCCCAGGAGGTGGCTGCTCTTTGCCATGTGCTCCTCTCACAGTGTGCTCTGTCATCACATGCCTAAAGCAGTGAGGCCCACTGACCATGAACTGGAACTTCCAAAACTGTGAGCCAATCCACATAATCATTTTTTTCTTTATAAATTGATTGTCTCAAGTATTTTTTATAGTAGTGGAAAGCTGACTAAAGCATAAGTAATAAAATGTGCTGACTTGAAGTTTATATATATATTCTTATAATTGTGGGTTGTGGCTTCAGGACCATATGATGTCAAGAAAAAAATATCAAGTCATATAAGGGCAAATGTAAGTTTAGAGTAAGAAAAAAGAAAGGTTTAATTTTTCCTATTTAAAAAAGGTAAATGACTCCTTCTCTTTGCTTAGAAGATATATTTTTAGAAAATATCATTTCTCTGCCTCTTTGAAGTGTATGTAATTTTAAAAGGTAAATAAGACTCTTGCCAACTTTATTACCCAGGAGTGTTTCCTCAAAGACTGGGACATCAACTCTAACATGTCACCATGAGAAAAGAGAGCTCCTGTCTCTCCCAGAGTGTGGGAGGGTAGGAGCCCAACCTCAACTAGAGCTTGTTTCCAAGTTGCAACCCTATCTCCCATCATGAAGACATGAGAAATTTGCTTTTCCTTTGACTACAGTTAATGAGAAAACATTGATGTCTACCCCAGCATCCATGTGAGTTCAGAATCAAATGCATGTGATAAATGGGGCTATCTAGGCCTCTTACTTGCACATGAGTTGTTTGCCTTGGGAACATGTGTGGCATGGGCTGAATCTGCTTAGCTATCCAGAAAGGTGAGGTTCTTTCTGCCTCTGGATCTCTTTGTCAGAATATTTACAATGTGTACCACATTTTGGTTTGTGTTTATGCAATAATAAATCTGTTTTCTTTCTCTTCTATCTTTCAGAGTTAGCCAAAATTTTGATTTCTATTCTGGGCAGCTGTGTGTCAGGTTAAACAGAATAATTCTATTACTAAGTAAAAGGTCAAAACTAGGTTATAGGGGACAACTAGTGGTCAGTGCCACACACACCCCACCACATTTATGTGGTTGGTAAACATGAGAACATTCTTTCTATGTTTTCACTCACATCATCAATAAAAAAATTTTAAGAAAATCAGGCATGGGCACATTCAAGAAGCAAAATCTCCACTTATTTCCAACACTGAAAAATGCTTTAACTGTATTCTTCATTCAACAAAAATCCCCTAACTATAGTAAGGTTAGGGTGAAGAGTGAGACAGGGTTGGAAATGTTAGAGCTTGCACTATGTCCTCCATAATTGATCAGAAAGAAAACAAGAGAGATTGTGGCCCCTAGTATAAGCATAATCTTCCCTCCTGCTTTCCCTTTTCCCTTCCTTTTTCCTTCTTTCCTTCCTTCCTTCCTTCTTTTGTTCTTTCTTTTTTTTTTCTTTTTTTCAGTACAGAGGATTAAACACTGGGCTTCCTGCATGCTGAGTAAATGATCTCCACTGAGATTTGTCCCCACCCCTTTTACTTATATTTTCAGATAGTCTTCGCTAAACTGCCCAGGATAGCCTTGAATTTAGGATTGTCCTGCTTCAGTCTCCTAAGTAGCTGGGATTATAGATGTGCGCCACCATGCCAGGTTGACCTTTATTTTTATTATCATTATTTTTATTTTTTGTTTGTTTGGTTTTTGGTTTTTCTCCGGTACCGGGAACCGAACTCACGACCTTGCGCTTGCCAGGCAGCCGCTTTGCCACTGAGCTAAATCCCCAGCCCCCTATCATTATTTTTATTATCATTCTTTTCTCTTTAATATTTTGGCCTGTATGTCTTGCCTGATTTCTTTCTTCTAGATTAGGGTAAATAAAGCCAAACTGTTTCTAGCTTTTTATGTCCACATTTTCAGTTCCATATTTTAGGTTTATGATCCTTTATAAGGCAAGAATATTCTCAAGGCATGTGTAGAGTTCAAATTGAATAAAATACCACAGATTCTTCATAAAATTGAATAGAACAACACATTTCAAATTTTAGTATGCTCACAAACCACCCAGAGGAACTTACTAAAATGTAGATTCTGATTTAGTAGCTCTAAAAGAGAAAAAAGTGAAAGTAAAAGCAAAAAAATGTATGCTAGGAGATGTCCCAAAGTAAATACCATATCAGCTTAGCCGCATAGTGAGGAATTTAAATACAAAGCAAAGCAAGCGCATCCTGAAGAGAAGGCTTGGAGGTTAGAAATGAGTTACAGGTCTTGACCGAGTAGTGAAAACATTGCCCCAAGAGCCACAAGACCTGGCTTGTAAAGGGGCCCAAAAAGCCAGAAAGCCCTACTGGGTGAGGTATGGCACAGGACAGGGTCCGAGATGGTCCCTCCCAGTGAGCAGATAGAGACCTCAGCTAACACACACACACACACACACACACACACACACACACACACACGATGTAGCTAGAAGGTTCGCCCAACCTATGTCACAGAAAAGCATTTCAGGACATGTCAATGAGAGGCATAAGTGGATTTGTTAAGGAGAAAGAAGAGGCATAGGTAGGTTTAATATACAGAGTTAAAGAGGTACACACTCAGAAAAGAGAGTGTGGGCACGCAGAACAGAGGTAAGTTAAAGTCTGGGGCTTCGAGTGTTGGTGTGGTCTTGGGGGTGTCCACAAGAGAGATCATCTAGGATGTGAGTTCCTAGTGTCTATCAGGTTATCTGTTAGTGGATTTAGTTAGAATGCAAACCATTTTCATGTGTTTGAAGTTTAGAGATACAGTAGTCAATGAACAGTTCTTCTTCCGTGCGGATAATGATCTGTGGAATTTGTGAATCCACAGGATCAGAGGAAAATCAAATGTCCAAATTATTATATCTTTAAGATGCTTAGGAATTTCTGGAGTCAATCTCCTAGGAGGGAATACTTGGGTAATTTTGCATCCTAAACCTGCAGATTTTATAAAAGTACAATTTGAAAATAACAATTTTCCTTGTCTCCTTTCTGTCTTTATTTCTTCCATCCCACCTTAAGGTACATCTTCAAATACATAAAATCACTTTTAAGTAACAGTAGTATTCAGTTTCCAGTCTTAGAAAGTCACTACGAACACCGAATGAACCAATCTGTTTAACAGTGCTATATTAGTTTGCTAAGGCTAGGCCCCTGAAACAACAGACATTTCTTTTGTCACAGTTCTGCAAGCTAGAAACCAGGAATCCGAGTGTCAGGAGGACTGGCTGCCTTCTGTCCTCTCCCTCTGTCTTCATGTGGTCTACCCTCTGGGAGTTGTCAGTGTCCTAATCTCTTCTTCCAATGATACCACTCATGTTGGAGAACCCACCAGACTCACTTAATTTTTACCTTAAAGATTTTGTGTCCAAATACAGTTATATACTGGGTACTGGATGTTAGGACTTGAATACAAGGGTATATGTGTTGGGACTCAATTCAGCTCACAAGTGCTTTGAGGAATTCAGAGGCATATGAAGTACAATTGAATGTAATGCTATGTAGTTAAAAGAACACACTTTGGAATCAGAAAAATCTAAATGCAGAATACTCTAGCCTGCACCATTTTGCTCTCTGGGAGATCTTAGACATGTTGTATAACCCCTCTGAGACTCTGTCATTCATCTGTGAAAGTGTGTGTAAGAAATTAAAAACAGCCACAGTTCTTCGCAGCTCTTCCCAAGATGAGCTGGCTGGACAGCACTGTGATGGGCTTTGACCAAGACACTGCAGTGGAGGTGAACAGTGAGTTGTTAGGCTCAGGCTCAGGAAGCCATGTGGCTTCCACACTTGCCCTCCTGGGATGCTGCAGCCAGGAGATCTATTGTAATAAATCATGCATAATTTTTCCTATACACACACATGCACACACACACACACACACACACACACATACAAATTTGATACTTTACATTTTAACCAGCACTTCTGCACAGTAGCAAAAACCTCTGCAATTTGAGGTGTAATATAGCAAAACTAGCACAAATTTTGTTTTCCTCACAATTTTATAAGACTTATATTTACCATAACTCGTAGCAACTTCAGTGCATATGTGTGTGTGTGTGTGTGTGTGTGCGTGTGTATCCGTATTAAGAGCTTTCACCTTTTCACATAAAGAAAGCCCTCTTTACACCTTTTTTTTGGCATATCTGAATTTCATCACCAGTTATCCTATGGGGCCATTGTTAAGTAAAATAAAGGTTACTGAAACACAAACTCTGATAACACAGTGGTAGATCTGATAATCAAAACGGCTACTATGAGACCTTTGGATAGTTGGGTGATGTACTCAGTGTGGATGTGCTGGACAAAAGGATGGTTCATGTTCTGGATGGTATGGAGCAGGACAACTTGAATGGCACACACTTTAAAATTTATGAGTTGTTTCTTTCTGGAGTTTCCTCTTTAACATTTTCAGACCACAATTGACTGAGGGTAACTGAAACCGTAGGAAGTGAGATAGTAGATGGGGGAGATGTGTTACTGAAAACAAAACAATGGTTCCTACAATACATAACACAACTGATAGAGTATGTCATTTGAGGATAGGAAACTATAACTGTAACACACATCAACTAGGACCTGACATGTACTGTGTGCTCAGTAAAGATTAGGTGTAGTATTATTTTTAGTCAATTGTATATTTTAGAATTTGTAGACTTGAAAATTGAATGCATTTTATAAGAACAACATATAGAACTTGCACTTAAAAACAGGAGTTGCAAATAAGTTTACATTCAAATTTTAGTTTACCTAAAGATAACTAGTTTCTTTATAGAAAAACAATGAATTAAATAGTATAGCCCTTGTTTGTAAATAATGTGTTAGAGTCAAACCATGTTGAGTATTGTTTTTACATTATAAAATACTCCAAGACCTTCCTCAGTGACTTTTTCCTCCTTAAGCATAAATTCCCCTTCTTTATCACCAGAAAAACTCTCCCACTAATTCCCACTAAAAAAATTTGTCTGGCTACTTGATTAACTAAAACAACAGAGCATTCCTCCTGTTGCCTCATTCCTCCTGCTACTGATCAAACACTGGAGGTTCTATGTTAATGATAACAACACCCTGGTTTTGTGATGAAAGAGATGAAAGGCAAGCTGTGGTACATCTGACTTGATAAACTAATTTATCTCAGGAAAAGTTACTTTCACAAGAACCCTGTGATGTAGGTAGATAAGATATTTTCAGTTATGCTTATTTGCTTGCTAATTATTTTGACCTTAACTTCATTTTATATGTGAGAAAAATTACATTCAAAGACATTAAATACTTTTGATAGAATATCAGAGAGAGTGTAGTTAGCGTAATTCTCTATAGGCAAATGATATAAGTTGAGTATTCTTTTCACTGTTCCTCAGTAATTTTGAAGGACTCAAAAGCAGAGATAGTCACTTAACCAGACTCAGTGGGAAAATGTGCTCTGTGGGTAAAAACTATATTCCTGCAGGTGAAAAACTATTTTTTTTATTTATTTATTTTTATTTTAGAAATAAAAGGAGGAAAATACTAACAGACTGACAACATTTTACAAAATAGTATAGGATCAGTACAGACATTACAGAGTTACAAACAGAGTGGTAGGGAATTAACAATGCTTATTGTATTACATATTGATATCTTCAATGTAGTTTCTCATGAAAACACATATAGACATACAAAGCTAATCAACCAATGCCTCACTGACAGTTTC